TGCAGGAATTTTGTTAAGAAATGTTGGTACTTTTTGATTGTTAAGAAATTTAAAATGATTAGGTTTCTGCAAGGAAAAAGAAATTGTATGTGTTTGTTCATTTATCAGTGTGTGTACATGTGTAATTTACAAGAATAAATGTTATCAAGAGTTGCTTGCCTTTGTCTGTGTAGGCTAAGATGGTGAAATATACAATTACTTTTTAGTAGTGAAATTGTTTCACTTTTCAAGTCAATTGTAGATGTTGGTTAACATGCGGACAATGGTTGATGAAAGTTTGTTGAGATTTCAATGCGGTGTGTGAGTCAGTGAATTGTCATGCGTGGAGTTTGGTAGCATCCCATTGAACTCCGGTGGCTGACTGTCTGAATTGAGTCAGCTGCAGTTAATTTATAGATATTTTTGTGTAGCGAAATCGGTACAAAAGAGCTTGGCGGGAAATAGGATTCATTTGGAATTTTGCTACACTTTGGTGTTTATTAACCAATAAAAAGATTGGATTTGCAAAAGCAAAGTGATGATTGGTTAAAGGCTTTTCAGAGAAGAATGCATTTTTCTGAAGGGGGTTAAAGGCTAATGTGGAAGATTCCACAAACTATCAGTATATTACAAAATATTAAAAAAATACTTTAGCTATAGCAAAAAACATTACTGTATATAAAAAGCAAGCTAGCAGTGCAGCTGAACATAAAACACACTCCCTCCTTCACAAATTATTTTTGTTTGGCTGCTTCATATGATGGACATATTTCTCTGTAGCTTCAATGTTATTTTTCCCAGGTTATTGATTTACCATTAGCAGTATTTCTCTTTCATTACATCTCTTTCTTCTGTAATTTCCAGTTGGTTAAGAATGGTCATGTGCTAAGACATAATTAGGTATGATGGATCAGCTGGTACCAATGAACATGGCCAGTACTTTATTACAATAATTTTTCTTACTGTGGTGGTTGTGGTAGTAGTAACATCATTACTTGTTTTATTAAAAATATTATTTATTTCTCTAATTTTTTCTGGCCCAGAAGCTAAAGTTATGGCTTTTGTTCCCTATGACTTCTTTCCCAGTCACCTATATGATTTACAGCAGTTATTTTTTTCATATAATTGTATACTTTAAAAAGCTAAAATTTTCTTGAAAAAAATCTCTTTCAGTTGCATTTTGATCATTTTTCTCAAAAATTAGTTTAGGTTTATATGCTTTATATATCTTCAATATATCCTGAATATTAGAAAAAGATTTTTTGTATTTATAATAGCATATTTTATATTTTGTTGTAACAGTTGTGTTGTTTTGCTGACTTTTTTTCCTTCTTTGCAGAAGAGCAACTCTTTGTTTAAAGAAGTATAATGAGATTGAAATAGAATATCATGTGGACAATCTCCCCAGTCTGCCTGATGAAGTGAGTAGATGCAACGGATCTGAATGCTTGATTTATAACTCAATTTTAGCTTTTTGCTACTGCACCAGACAAAATACTCAATATATTTATCTAATTTATGTCATGTATATGTTGTTCAGATATAGAATCTGAACAAAATGAGACAAAGAGGGAAATCGTTTTATTGACAATGCATTTCATCTTTATTAGGTTTTTATATTAAAACTGTTAATGCCTGTTTGCTTGGTGTGTCTTTTAGCTGGAAAGAAAGAACAAAATTGCTGGGTTTTTTTTTTTTTATTAAAGCTGCCAATTTTTGGTGGACTCAAAACTATCCCACTCCAATCAGATCCTTGTTACTCTTTCTGCCAGCTCATGTAATGTACATAGTGGCAGTATATGAGTTGGTGGAAACAGTAATGGGGATCTGCTTGGAGTGGGTTAGTTTTGAGTCCACTAGAGATTAATAGCTTTAATAATAAAAAAAGCAATTTTGTTCTTTCATTCTGACCAGAAAATGCCTAATTAATGAAGGCTCAACACATTGTCAATAAAGAGCTTTTCCACTTTGTCTCATTTCTCCACATATGTCATATAATGAAATATTTTTCTGGAGTACAAATTTTTTTCTTTTAATTCTGTTCCCTGAGACTGTTAGGGCTACTTTTTAAAATAAACTGAGCTAATTTAGGTTACTAAAGAAAGTCAATTCAAAATTTAATATTATTAGGTTTTAAAATATAGTCCATTTTGCTACTTGTAAGCTCAATCTGGCTACCCTGATACTGCCATTTAATTGTTGCTGCTTCTTCAAAATCCTGATGATGTTTGGTGTTCCAGAGTTAGAAACCTTGTAAAAATAAACACGAAAGTAATGATTTACTATGATTAATAAATATTTATTATTGAAATAAAACAAACAAATCTTCATTTATTTATTTTTATTCACACTTATAAAGCAAAACTATTATTCATTAGTACAAATTCACAATCAATTCAGTGAAAAGAAATGAAAATTCAATTCTTAAAAACTTTTAACATTCAATTAAAAAAATAATATTTTCAGTAAATCTACATTTAAAATTAAGTAAAATTTAAGTTGATAATATTTAAGCTACAGAATATGTTGAACATATTTATATATTTGTCAATATTAATTGGAATAAAACAATGAGAGATTTTGCCATTTTTATACAATGAATTTTCTTTCTCTTTCTCTTTCTCAGCCTCTCTATTATGATGATGAATTTGAGCAAAGTTCCTTCCGGCGTCCGCTGCCTTCAGCCAAAAGTTATGATTCAGACGACCGCTGTTCTGTTCATACACAAAATTCTCCAACTGCTGAGACACCTCTGATCAATGAACCAAAAAGACGTAACAAAATTAATGTAAGTATTTTAATATGAGGTATTTATCATGGATATCGTAGGAAGGAATTATTTATTAAACAAATACATCAAAACTTTCATTCACTTTAATGATTACTTATATAGTCAAACAGTAAATACTAAAAGCATAGATAGAAATGCCTTAGAAATGATTTTACTGCATAAATACATTGCAAATTATCATGGAAAAGATTTATTAAACAAAATATGTCAGAAACTTCCATTCAATCTAATAATTACATATATATGTAATGACAGCAAATTTAGTATTGTATACTTTAAAAAGCTAAAATTCCCTTAAAAAATCTTTCAGTTGCATTTTGATTTTGCAGAGATAAAAATTCATTAGGGATTATTTTACTATAAAACTACATTTGAAATAATTTTACTATAATGTAAATGTATAAAATAATGCATTTTATATAGTAGTATAAAAATGAATTGTAAATATAGAAATGTATTGGATATTATTTTACTATAGAATTGCATTGCAAAGTTTTAGAGAAAGGATTTATTAAACAAAATGCATGAAAACTTTTATTTACTTTAATTACATAAGGATACAGCAAATGCTAAAAGCATCTATTGCAAATGATTATAGAAGAACAACTCTGAATTCAAAACTGTATGTAACCCTGACAAAACATATACTATGCATTCAACAAAAGGTTTGTGGGGTTGACAATGATTCTCTGATCCTGACTACAGTCAGTGTGATATCAGCAGACATTGGTTTGAAGAATATAATTTGTAGTTCTGATCTGAGAAGGTAGAATTCAGATTTCCTTCATTGAAATAAAGTCCTGTACTTTGGATGTGAAGGATATACTGGTGACTTAATAGAAAATGAAATTGATGAGCAAAGTTCAAATCTCAACTGAGATAGTTTGTGCTTACTTCTTACTAATGCTCTTAAGAAATTACAAGGCCCTGTCTCTTTTTGCCCAGATGTGGTTAAATAGCAAGTTAGACTGTGTTCTCTAGTCTTGGTTATTGGCCAGTCCAGGAGAAAGACAACTGATTTCAAAATCAATATTGGATATACTCTGCCTTTCAGATATATCTAAAAAATAGCAATAAATAGTGGGTGGTGTTTGAAATTCCACCTTGTAAAAAATCTACATGCTAAGATATGAGCAGAATGCAAGCTGAATTGTCAATTGGATCCAGGACCCGGATGTGAAGTAAGTGTTGTGTTTGTTTAGTGATTGAACTTATTCCATGACAGTTACTCTTTAAGTTAGCTCTTCCTTGCTTGGTAAATATTGGTAAGTTGTGAATAGTTGACTCATCACTTTGTGGAGGGGGATAATTACATTGACACATTGCTTTTATTTAATAGTAATGAATTATTTTGAGATAAAAGATATCCTGTTAGGCCTCTCTGACCATTGTTGCCAAAACTAAATAAGCAACATAAATAGGAATATCTATTCTATAAAATTTAAATGCAATATGGCTAAATATTTATCAACCATCTTTCCTATTTCAGATAATGTGATATTCTGTTGTTTTCATAATACAAGGCATTACTCATTGCCAATAAACAAATATGGTATTCATTATTATGCTATTTTTTATAGTTATTTACTCAACTTCCTATGGTTGCAAAATATGACACAAGGTCTTTTTGATGGGGGCTGGTTTTAGCCAATACAAAAATTGATATTCCACAAATCCTCTCTCTTTTAGTAAAATTGGGGAAATGCTGCTGGAAAAGGGCTGGAATCTCTAGGACTAGACATCTTCTCCATTAACTATAAGGAGAACAGATCCCGGCCAAGTGTTACAATAAAATATCTCATTGATGTGGGGATCAAGTTGCTAATAACACTTTTTTTTTTGTTTTAGCTTTCTTTTAATGTTTTTTTACTTTTAATGATTTAGAAAGCAGAATTCTTTCATAAATGCAGCAATAAAGTTAATTATATAAATCATCTGAGATTACCCATGCGGAAAATAAAAGTAATGCAATTGAAAATTACTTATATATGGCTATCATTGATGATACAGGTTGACTTATTTTTATAAATAAATGATTAGTAAAAAAAATAATATTTCAAAATTATTTTAAGAGATCTTTCTGATTGGTCAGAAAATGAATAATTGTGTTTTGATATCAAGTTTTAAATGATATTGAAAGATGGTGTTTTGATAGCATATGGGTATTTAATTTCTGCTCTTCATAATATGAAGATATCACCTTTATACACACATTCACAAACACAAGGCCTACAGCCATGTCATGCTGAAACACAGATTCTCTTATGATTACGAAAGTTAAGCAGTGTTCAACCTGGTCAGTACTTAGATGAGTGACCACTTGGGAATACCAGGTGCTGTAAGCTTGGATATGTGGGTGGTGTAATGGATAACTGTTTGGAATTGAAAATCAAAGAGCCAAGTTCCAATTCCAATTGAGTTCATTATATTCACTTATGCACAAATACCATTGGGAAAAGTAAGAATTCACCTCTCCCCTATATATATATATATATATATACACATACTACGCATGTGCACATATGCACACATACATATGTAGACACACACAAAGAAGAAAAATCAACCTAACACCAATAAAATGTGCATAAATTATTTATTAACTTAATATAAAAATAACAAAAACAAATAAATTGACAAACATTTGTTGATACTTTCTGATGAGTGAACCGAACAATTACAAAAAGATTTGTTTATTGAGTAGAAGTACTGAATATAACATCAATCAGCTGAGTGACAAATTTAATATTTGTTTTAATCATATATATATATATATATATATATATATATATATATATATATATATATATATATATAAAATGTAACAAAGATTGTTAACATCTAACAAAACATATTGACTTATAAATTACTGGAGGCTAATGCATTCAAGATGAGCAGATGTTTGCAAATAAAGTGCTCAATATTTTTAAAAAATAGAGTAACAATAGTTAACAGATTAAGAAAAATCAAAATGACTTATCTTCTGACTTACAGTTTCACAGATATACTGTTTCAATAGTCAGAGTAAGATAAATCTGTTGAATTCATTAACATATATCATACACACATATAAATTGTGTATTTGGACAGCAATCCTTCTTTTATACAAGTTTCATTAAATATGACTGTCAAGGTACTGTGATTAAGCTTTTATTCAGTTTTTCTTGTGTTTGTATAAGTGTTTTCTTTTCTGGACCAAAAGTGTGTAAAAACTGTTCAAATGTTCTATATATGCAAGAGTTTTCATCTATTAGCCATTATCAAGGATGTTTTTTTTTTATTTTATTTTTGTAAGAGATGTAACTTGAGTTTTTTTTTATAGGGATGTAGTGATATGTCCAATATAATTATTCATGAATTTGGTTTGATCAGGAATGCAGTTCCTTAAGTGGCATGTAAATTCATAAATAATATTGATCCTCTGTCATTTGTATCTTGCAGATGAGTTTAAAAAGAAAACATTTACACAAAGAAAAAGTCCAGAAAAGAAAATACTTATCCAAACACAAGAAAAATTGAATAAAAAGCTTAATCACAGTACCTTGTCAGTCATCTTTAATAATATAAAGGACAAATAAGAAACATACCTTATCATATCATTCTGTTGATGTTGAATTCTAATCCATATTTGATCCCAATAATGTAGTGTGAGATTAGATATATGCAAAGAATTCTTTATTTACTGCATTATTTATTGAGTATACTAAATTGTTTGATTGAATTTCAAAAACATTAATAATTCCTTTTTTCACAGAAATCACACAGTCCAAAACCAACATGTCCTCACCAGCCAAGCACAATGGATAAACGTTCTTCAGCAACCTGGTCTCCTCGTAGTAGTGCCAATCTTGAAGCTATTCCAACAGAATACTACTTGGATGGTTCCCGAAGTTCTCCTGTGACTCTCACCAAGAATACAAAAATAAAACAGCGTGCTGTCTTGGATATTCCAAAACCACTGCAGTCGTCCATGTTGGACAGTTATTACAACGGAGGTGATTCAGAATCTACCTACATTCATGATAGCATTGAGACCATTCATCCTATAAAACCAGTCATTGATGGCCAGCCCTTTGCTTCTCCTGCTGGAGGTCCTTCTTCTGACTGGACAAGTCGGTCATCACTTGATACACCATCCTATGGTAAAAATCCTATTGTTGACAGTAGTGGTAATTTGGTTTATTGCAGGACAGGTTTAAGCTCAACCACCATAGCAAGTCATGGAGATGCTTTGTCAACCAATGGAGTCTTTTCTCCCCATCCCCCACGTTCTACTCGTCTTAAAGGGCGGAATTTTTCATCACAGGGTTCGCTGGACAATGTTGGAGTGAAAAAAAGCCAGATCAGTTTACTGGACTTGCAAATTAGTGAGGACCACACTGACTCCATGGTCCCAAATCATAGATTCTTGCCCGAGAGTCCAAGAAGTGTTCGGTCCAAACCTGGGAGCCAACGTGAGCTGTCAGTGTCCCCAGGGGAGTCAGATGTAGCATGTGGCGATACCAAATCAAAAGAGCTTGGATCACTTTCCAAAATAGATGAAGCTCCAATACCCGAGGATGGTGTTGATTGCATTGCCTTAAAAACCTACAAAACGAGTGCTGTTACCCCTGATGCTGATGACAACCTACCCCGGCTCCGGTTACCTGAAGAGACAAATGGCTCCCCTCCTCATATGCTCAATCGCTTCATGGCTCATCATGATATGATTCCATACCATTCTGGGGATGCATCTCTATCCATTGGTGCTGTTACTTCGCAAGAAGATGATGACAATAATGCCCAAATATCAAATTTTGTCCGCGATATCATGAAACGTTCAGAGGATGGAACTAATGACAGTGCAGACTATTACGTCAGAGATGGCTCTAGCATATTTAACAGCTTTAAAAAGAAGGGCCACAAACGACGGAAGAAAGCTCCAAGCTCAAACAGTACTAACAGCAGTAGTAATAGTAATAACAGTAGGAGCAGTAGTAGCCAATCTGCAGCTCATAGAAATGATTGGCAGGAACAAAATGCTCAATCATCATGGGAGCAGCCCAGTGAAATGCAAACATTTGTGCCACCCCAAACTCTTGATCCAAATACTTATACCTCTGAAGAACTGCCTCCACATTTTTTTATGGATCCTGAGATAACACCAGATCTTCCAACAACAGATCTATAAGATCAGTCTTTCAGATTGATTGATTTGTATAAGTGTGTGTGTGTCTGTGTGTAAATAGATATGTCTGTGTGAATGTGAACTTTAACACTGTTGCTATTCTTTTAGGCAAGGGACTTTTTTTTTAAATACTCTTTCTGATATTGTAATAATTTTCCGGTTAAAAAAATGAATTTATTTTTAGTTTTTTTGTTTGTTTTTTTTACTATGCTTCATATTAGTAATGTCTTATGATAGCATTATTAGTCTTTGCAAAGTCACTGAAAACAAATATTTAAAAAGCATACTGGTGGATTTTCGTGACAAAACTGTCAGCTCATGACAATTGCAATGAAGACCATCTGTTTTCTGCAACACTATAAGCTGTCTTTGTACATGTCAAAAGAAAAGTGAATTTTTGCCGATGACAAATTGTCATCTCTGAAGAAAATCAGAAAGAAACAGTTTGATTTCAGTAATTTTTATGTTTTTTTTTTTAGTTTTAATTATAAATCACTTTATTTTAACATGTGTTTTCTGTTGCTTCCAAAAGACTATTAAATGTGCTAAGATTTTTAAGATATACTCACAATATGATGCAAGGTAAAAAAAAATTTCCTCCAAATTTCTTTTTTTTATTTCTGTCATTTTCATCTTTTTTTTTTTTTCATTCAATTTAATTTTTAAAATTTATATTTTTACATTATTATTTTGATTTATCTCTGTTTAAGTGTTTGGCTTCTGAAATGTCTAAAGTTTCTTTGTCTTAGCAACTTCCATGACATGAATCTTTAGGTGGTCCCATGTTTCAGTTAGAATTTCTCCCTGTATATTTCAGTCTTGTTAAATCACAGAAACAGTTATTTTTTTTTCCTAGTCTTCTTGAAATTATGAAAATCAAATACCAATTGTACAAAAGCAAATTCTATTAGGTATGTGCAAAAGTTTCCAGAATTTTTTTTGTTTTGTTTTTTTTTTAACTATATGCAGGTGACAGAATAGATTTTTTTTTTTTTTTAATAAAAATATCTGGGAACTTTTGCACACATACTTAATACAAGCAGCAAAAGAATTCAAACAAACAGCAAAAAATTTTTCAAACAATTTAAAAAAAAAAATATTCTTCACAACAAAGTCAATGAACCAAGACTTGTAATTATTTTTAACATATGGTATACTGAAAAGTCCTTAGTCCAACCAAAAAAAGAATAAAATGAAAATTCTGATATTTCATTTGCTCAGTTTTTGGAATGTCCTGACAAAGCTGAGAACTTTTCAGCTCCCCTCAGCATGTGAGAAATTAAAATGTTTGGACTACTGAACATATATTTTTCTTGCTCTTGTTGTTACCACATTTTGGCTGATCCATTCTAAAGCCTTCTTCAGGTGTATAGTCAGTATGGAATATGCCTTCAGTTATTTTGAATTATTATCATTTTAAAAGTTTGCTTTTGTTGTTACCATATAGATGAGATTAGCCATTTCCATGAATGAAACATTCAGCATTCATTGACTGAATAGTTACTGTTATTGTTGGTTGAAATCTATAAAATCTTATTAAAACAATTTTACTGGAAATTAGACTTCTCAAGTTCACTGTTATAGCACTTTCTAATAATGATGGCAGTTCCCTTCCAAGTTTTTTTTTTTAGTCGTGCTGTCCATTTTTGTTACTGCTTCTGTTTGAAGTGTTCAAGTGATGTGGCTTTTGTTATTTATTAAAGTTCTTTCTGATCTTGTAGCGCCAATCTATAGTGTCTGATGAAAGATCATTGTCTTTAAAATTTATAGGATTAATTTATTTGAAGCCATTTTTAACCATTGATCTGAGAAAATAATTGTATATAGGTGATAGTTTCGACATTTTTGAACAAGTTGGATACCATGCATGACATCCATATGAGAATCTAGATCCGATGAGGTTATTTAAGAACATAACTGGAGTTTTCAGGTCAATATTTTGGTTTAGTAGCATCTTAGTGTACTTAGTCCGAGGCATAATGATAAACTATATCTGGTAGTAAGGCCTCTGATCAGGAGATTGGAAGCTTTGAGGACCTCTTAATTGCTGTTGTTCCCAGGTTACACCCTAACCCGGGGTGGTAGCATCTGTTAGAGTCCCAACTATGGGCAAATAGTGACTCCCCCAACCAAAAACAAAACACTATGAAAGTATAAAAATTTTATATAAAAAAAT